CATATTTTTAGTGTGACAGACTTTGTTCAGACTACTACACTTAGGAAGAGCTCTTTGAAGCGCAAACTTAACTTCCTGCATGCTTAAACTAAGGTAGTATAATATATTTTTGTTGCTCTGAGCACTTGCAACTGAACATATAAAATGAAAAGGGACAAAAGTCTACATTTTAACATGCCAGACAAAACACTAAAACAGCTAGGCATTTACAGATTGTTGGAAAAGTGTTAATCACATTATTCAGTCATGGAAGAGTAATGTTCAAAAAGAAATTCAGAAAAATCAGTGAAAGTGAAAGTGTTAGCCCCTCAGCAGTGTCTGCCTCTTTGTGACCCCATGGACCTTAGCCACCAGGCTCCTCAGTCCATGGGGTTCTCCAGGCAAGAATGCTGGAATGGGTTGCCATGCCCTCCTCCAGGGAATCTTCCCAACCCAGGGATCAAATCCCCGGGTCTCCTGCAATGCAGGGAAATTCTTTAACATTTGAGTGACCAGGGAAGCCCAGAGTGAACCCATTAATCGTGCATGTAAGCTTGATTTTCTGAACTAATAATCTCATGGCATTTATCAGTAGCCAACTGGGGGAGAGAGGAATCTAGCTGCGTAAATCTAAATCAGAGTTTGATTATATTTAAATATATTTGGTTTTAAGTAAATGTGTATTTCTCTGAACTCAATGAAAGCATTTATTACGTTTGATCATATTAATTTTTTGCTTCTAACAAGAATTATGGAACTTTTACAACAGAAGGACTCTGAAAGATTAAGGCATATCTCTACATATCATAAGCATGTTGTTTCATAAATAAAGGATATAATTAAAATCAGTGGACTCCAAAGTGTTGACTGCAGAGATAATAACTGTGTGCCATCAACTTGAAAAAGAAATGAATGAGCATGGGTTCCACTGATCATCTGCATGTAATTAGGAAATTTAAGCTGATTAGAATCAGAGTGCTCATTTCAAACACTGTGATCTTGACAGCAGAACACACTGCCTGAGTTATATCTAGTAAAGCCTTAGGTTTTCTTTTTGTTTGTTTTTCCAGTTTTATTGGGATATAATTGATATATAACACTATATTAAAAGTGAACACCATAATGATTTTATATATTTGTATATTACAAGATGATTATCATAATAAATTTAGTTAATATTAATAACCTCACACAGTTGTTTTTCCTTATGATGAGAACTTTTAAGATATGCTCTCAGCAATATTCAAATATATGAAAACAGTACTGTTAACTATAGTCACCATGTCTTCCCAGAACTTATTTATCTTGTATCCGGAAGTTTGTACCTTTGTACCACATTTGCCCATTTCTTCAACCCCTATCCTCACCTCTGTGATCACCAATTCGTTCTCTGTTCTTACCAGTTCCATTCTTTTTAAGATTCCATGTGTAAGTGAGATCATATAATATTTGTCATTCCCTGTCCAGCTTATTTCACCTAATGCAATGCTTTCCATGTCCATCCATGTTGTCTCAAATGGTCGGGTTACTTTCTTTGTATGGCTGAATAGCATTTCATTGTAATATAATACACTATATATTTTTTTATCCATTCATTGATCAATGGACATTTAGGTTATTTCCCTGTCTTTTAAAGCCTCAAGTTTTCTGTTACCATTTCAGTTACTATATTCTGTTACTATTTCCTATTATATCTAGCAAGCCTGTTGTAGAAAGAACAGTTAGTGCTTATACACTAACTTATACATTTATACATAATTTAGAACATATACTTATACATAAACTATTAAAATACAATGCTCTATAATGCCTCTTTTGTATCATTTGTTATACATTAAACAGCTTCTCTTGTGGCTCAGCTGGTAAAGAATCCACCTGCAATGTGGGAGACCTGGGTACAAGATCCCCTGGAGAAGGGAACGGCTACCCACTCCAGTATTCTGGCCTGGAGAATTCCATGGACTGTATAGTCTATGGGGTCACAAATAGTTGGACACGACTGAGTGACTTTCACTTTCATTATACATTAGAATTGGATAAACTTACTTTACATGAAGCTGAATATGGGTTTCTCTGGTAGCTGAGATGGTAAAGAATCCAACTACAATGTGGGAGACCTGGCTTTGATCCCTGGGTTGGGAAGATCCCTTGGAGAAGTGAATAGTTACCCACTCCAGTATTCTTGCCTGGAGAATTCCATGGACAGAGGAGCCTGGCAGGCAAAGAGACAGACACTACTGAGCGACTTTCATTTTACTACCTTAAAAGAAACTGATAGCAGTAGGAAGACTTCAAAAACTAATTTTATATGATAAAAGAAATTTTTAAAAATCTAGGTCAATTATGGATAATTTGACAGAGAAGTTTCCCATACAAAAACAAATTAAATTTTGCTTTCTTGGTTCCTCAAAGTGGAAAATTTTCACCACACTTTTCGTTAGTTTCTTTTAATTTTTTACTCAAAAAGTTAAAATCTTTGAAAACTCTCAATATGTTTTCTAAAAAACAAAAACATTAATAGACTATGGGACAATACTACCAAAGCTCCAGAAGAAAGTTTTGACATCATATCATCACTTGTATTTCATCCAATTCATGCTTCTTTAATGAACTTCAAGAAATATTCACAAAAGAGCCTACAGCCTACTCTCAAATCCTAAGCTAGAGGTTCCAAGCATTCTCTTTTTAGATGATGTTTGAGGAAAAGGACTTTCAGTGCCTAGTCTTTCCATAACATCCATGCTTATGGGGAGAGTATCTTCAAAAAAAAATTTTCAAGATCCTAAATTTAGGGTATAAATAAGTAATTCCAAAATAATAGGAGAAGTAGGTAGCTCTGGTAGCTATTAGTTGAATATTATTTAGCTATTAATTGTCAGAAATGAATGTGAAACATATTTATGTGTGGATAACTTTTTATTTTTTATAAACAAATGGTACTAAGAGAATCCTTCGTGGCACAATATCAACAAATTAACTTGTTTATGCAGTTTATTTGACCCTGCATTGTTGGTCACAGTGTTTAGAACTTTGACATTAGCCACTGATGTATATTTGGAATTGTGTATCCCTGCCCTTTTACACATACAGTTAAACCAATTCTCCTCCTGTGTGCCTTATCCATATCACACACCAGAAAAAAAAAGAATTTTGAATTAGTGCTGTGTAACAGTGACTTGGAGACCTGGTGTCACGGCACACTGCCATGTCATAAGTTGTTACATGCAGCAATAACTTTTGACTATTAGTAAAAAACTCAAGTCATCTGCCTGTTCTTCATATAAATCAGGATGTATTCATTGTTATTGCTCTAACGCCATCATTTTTCTTAGTTGAATCACTTGTAATTTCCTGACTGAGAGACAAAGGGGTATCCAGTTCCATATAATTCTGAGGGAGTACATGAGAATGAACTCCACATGTGAATAATTATTGACATGTATGTAACTGTGAAAGAAGAAAGATTGGTCACTGCTTGTATATATATCCTTCTATATGAACAAGACAAGAACTGACATTCATGGAGAACATGGCCTAGGAAATAAAATTGGGACCCTGTTGACTAAAGGTCATTTAATTCAACAGACACAATGATAGTGCTCTTTCCCACCTCCATGGTCCAGGGAGAATTGTTTTTCCTTTCTAGTAGTATACAAATTCTGCATCAGTTTTTCTAGTATATAAAATGTTGTGTGAATATCTGCCAGTAATTAAAAGCCTTTCATCCAAGTAGGGAAGATATGAAAGTTAATTTATTGTTTATGAGTATATCAAGATCATTTAAAAACTATATGCTGAGATATAAAGGTAACACTGAAGTGTAAAATTGCTAATGCAGTCTCATAGCCTGGAAAAGGCTTTCTTTTAATAGTTTTCTTCATTTAACAGTTATTCCTTTGAAAATATTCCCTTTCAACTACAAACATATTTTGTGGCTTGGTGCAGTGAAGGGGAAATTTATTTCTTTGACACATTTATTCTTTTAATAATTACACATTTGTAAAAGTTTCACCAAGTATCTATATATTTCTCAGTTTGCAGAGAGACTCATTCTTGATAGGGTTTTTTTTTTTTTTGTAATCATTTAAATAGGTTCTCACTCCATGGAGCTATTGCTAAGATTTCTTTATAAGGACCTGCTATATAGCACAGGTGCTCTACTCATTACTCTGTAATGGGAAACGAATCATAAAAAGACTGGATATATGTTTATGTATAACAGATTCACTTTGCAATACACCTGAAACTGACAGAATATTGTAAATAAGCTACATGTGCTCAGTCACTCAGTCATGTCCAACTCTTTGTGACCCCATAGACTGTAGTCTGCCAGGTTCCTCTGTCCATGGAATTCTCCAGGCAAGAATACTGGAGTGGGTTGCCATGCCCTCCTCCAGGGGATCTTCCCAACCCAGGGTTCAAACCCAGGTCTCCCCTCCCATAAAAATATTAAAGAAGAAAAGGAACTACATTTACCCTTCCAAATAAACTATAATTGGCATTTTCCATGAAAAAAAAAAAAAAGAAGAAGAAGAAGAAAGACTAGTTTTTGGCTGGTGGAAAAAATTCTTTAAACTGGAGCTTCCTGGGAGTTCTAGTAAAGCCCTAAGGCTATTTCCAGGGGCTCTGCAAGCCCTGGATCACAGAAGATTCACATGATTAGAAAGGAAAAAAGTGTGCAGCATGAAGCTTAAGTAGTCATTAGTAGATGTCCTTGACTATAGTGTTAATTATGATTTGGACCTTATAAACCACAGAACATTTACAAGAGAATAATTAGTTTGGAGATGCAGTATATGGCCATGAAAAATATATGCCAAACTCTCCCACAGAGATTTAAAAGCAGGGTATCCATCACAAACATTTTGTTTTAATATTGAATAAGACCATCCTGACTTCAAACAAATCTTGATCTGTTTATTTGGAAATGTTACCCAACCAGGTAGAATTATGATGCATTCTTATTGTAGGGACACTTAAAGTCTGCATTGTCCTCACTCATGGCCCATTTTTAACCACAGTTCCAAAGACAGCACCTACCAATGTAAGTGGAAGAAGTGGAAGAAGGCACGAATTGGTCATCGCCTGGGAGGTAAGAAAGCCCACTCAGATGTCAGGACATGTTGATTCCTTAGAATATAAAGCTACACATAGGGTATGAGTACCTGGTACAGAGTAACTGTAATTTTTGTTTGAGATTACAAATGAGATTACAAAACACTTTGAGCATACATTACTCACATGAGTATTTCCAACGTGAACCTTTCATACTAAGTCTAAAGTCCCATATGGGCTCTCTTAGAATAAAGTTTGAATAATTAAAACATGTCCTCTCTCAAATTAGTTCAGAGGTTTGTTTGGCTTAGTTTAATGTTTGATTACTTCACAGTTGACATTTTGTGAGCTAAAATCACTGAGGGTTTTCTGGAGTAGAGCCTGGGTTATCTCATTTATCCCATACAATTATTCTACTAGTGCTGATAATTTTCCGTGCTTTCTAAATGATGAAACCGATACACAGTTTGTTTACTTTCCTGAGAAACAGTAGAATTGGGATTTTTATAACAAAATCCTTGTTCTTTTGTATCCCTCACCATGTGACCTCCAAAATTCCTTCTGTCAAAGTAAAGGAGTGGGGGTGAAAGCCTGTGAGAGGTACATCTATTTTACATAAAGCTACTTTCCTTCTCTGATGTTAACTTACTCTATTATCAAATATAGCTTTGTAGATCATAGATCAATGCCTTAGAAAGTGGAGATGGAAGTGCCTATTGGAGAAAGCTGAACTGATCCCTGACCAACTCAAAGAACAATGAAAGAGTTTAAAAAATGTAGAGAAAAACACATCCTCTGACCTGTTCCTCTGTTCAATCTCTTCTTCAATAAAACTTTATGTCTTGTTTTTGATTTCTGCGGAGGTATTAACTTCCCAATTCCTGACCTTCACTGAGATCGTATCTCTTGAAATGGAATTGCCTTCCCTGTCAGTTATGTGTCTTACTCATGGGCTACTGTAACAAAAATGCTGTAGACTGAGTGGCTTGGAAGCAACAGAAATTTATTTGTCACAGTTTTGGATGCTGGAAGCCCAGTTCTAGAAGGCACAGGGGGGTTCAGGTCTAGTGAGGACCTACTTTCTGGTGCTTACAGCACCATCTTCTCACTGTGTCCTCATCTGGCAGAGGGGCAGAAAGAGCTCTCTAGAGTCTCTCTTATTAGGGCACTAATCTGACTCATGAGTACTCCATCCTGATAACTAAATCACCTATCAAAAATCCATCTCCTAATACAATCACATGGGGTGGGTGGGGGGAGTGGTTAGGAATTATCACATAAATTGGCAGGGGTAGGGGAGAGGATACAAACATTTAGTATATAGTACTTTGGAATGATAGACTTTGTCTCTTTTCCTCCATTCAACACACAGTTTTTCCTCAAATCAAATTTTTTTTTAAAAAACTAACAAATATTTTTGTGTGTTAAATTGCTTGAGTCATGTTCAACTCTTTGCAACCCTATGGAGAGTAGCTTTCCAGGCTCCTCTGTCCATGGGATTCTACAGGCAAGAATACTAGAATGGGTAACCATGCCCTCCTCTGGGGCATTTCCCAACTCAGGGATCAAACCTGCAGCTCTTGAGACTCCTGCATTGATGGCAGATTCTTTACTGCTAAGCCACCATCTATTGGATATCTATTTGTCAAACACTGTCCTAGGAATGGCTGGTAACTGCTCCATTGACTAACTAGTTAATCTCAATTACTATTTTCTATGGTATGCAATTGATGCCCATTTAACAAATTTAAATGTGGGAATTCTCTGGCAGTCCTGCGGTTAGGGCTCTAGTCTTCCACTGCAGAGGATGTGGGTTGGAGAACTATGATTTGGTATATGATGCCATGTGACCAAAAAAATAAAAATTAAAGAATTTAAATTTAAGGCATATAGTACAAACTTTTTGAGCATATACTGTATTCTAATTATTCTAATTTTTCATGTTAGTAAAGCACAAAAGTATTTAAGAAAAGTACTAAAGAAAGAAAAACAATAAAGGTCTTACATTAATTTCTCCAAAATTTTCTGAGCAAAGACCTCTGCAGAGCATTACCAGGGACAAGATTTTCCCAACCACCAGACCATATGACAGTTTTCACCAACATGTTAAATTCTAGTGTGGAATCCAAGGACCTTTGTTTCATATACATGACTAATTGGAGTAAATTTGTCTCACCTCAGGAGTTTCAGTACTCTTGATAATTTTCTTAAGTATCAACTGATACCATTTAATTTTTTATGTTTTACCTTTAAAGCCTTTTAAATTTCCAACAACTGCCAAATGATTATGTTATGTTGGCTTTCAATGTACTAGAAAGTTTGGAGAATTTCTTTTGTTCTAGCTATCTATAATATAAAAATTTAAAGATTGGAATAAATGGGTCTTTTTAACCAGTTATTTTGCTGATAATTAAATGCATTTTTCTTCTCTAGCCAGTATCTGAAGAGTTTCAGAATGGGGAAGGCTTTGGCTATATTGTGGCTTTCAGGCCCAATGGAACACGTGGCTGGAAGGAAAAAATGGTGACATCCTCTGAAGCTTCCAAATTCATCTATCGAGATGAAAGCGTCCCTCCTCTTACTCCCTTTGAAGTGAAGGTTGGAGTTTATAACAATAAAGGGGATGGACCCTTCAGTCAGATTGTTGTCATATGTTCAGCTGAAGGAGGTCAGTTTTATATCCTTATTTTCATTTAACATTTTGATATTTTACTTTGGTAACTGAATGTGACATTATTGTATTATTAGAAAATACAGATATACCAAAAGAGAAAATAAAAAACCCATAAAATAAAACTTACCCATAGATCCACTAAACTTTTTAGATATATTTTTCCAAAATTTTTCCAAAAAAGTTTTATTGACAAAAATTGATAATTCCATATATTAATACTTTGCTTTATGTTTTTCATGCCCCACTGATATATGGCAAACATCTTTCCATGATAATAACAATATTAGTAATGCCTGTTATGTAGTCTATTCTGTGAATGTATGGACATTTAACCATTTTTCTTTGGTTTGAAATTTAGATCATTTTCCATTTTAACTGAAAAAAATTTAAATTTATATCAAATGAATTTAAATAAATACTCCAATAAATATTTGTTACTAACATCATACACAAAACATTGTACGATAAAGAAGTATCAGACAGGATTTTTTGTTGAAAGCTTTTCACACATGGTATCATCAAATCCTCACAGCAATCTTGATTAACAGGCATTATAATCCCCATTGTAAGGAAAGAGAAATTGAAGCTCAGAAAAATTAAGGAACTTCCCGAAAAAATTGCATAGGTTGTAATTGAGAATTAAACCCATTGCTGCCAATCATTAAATCCTTGGTTTGTCTATAGCAAACTGCCATCATATGCATAACCTTTTTCAATCGCAATATAAAACTGCTGCTAAGTCACTTCAGTCATATAAAACTACTAGGTAGTGAAACTGATAAGCATCTTTTACTATTGTGATTATGTAACTATTGTTCACTTAATACCATTGTATCATGATTAGTCAACAGAAAATAATAGAATTTTGTATCATTAAAGCTACCATTTAACAGGAAAAAGAACTACCAGGTAGGCAGGACCTGAGCAGTATACCCATTTTATAGACTGTAAGACATTGCATTTACTTGCAGGGCCAACTGAAATTCTGTGCTTGAATTGAAGAAAAACTATGACGTTATTCATGGTTATAGTCAATAGTTAGTAGTGCTAGAGTGCCAACTCAGCTTTCTACATCAAAATCTTTGGTTTATTCAGATTTAATAAAAAAAAAATGCATTTTCTGAGAGGAAGCTGGACAGAACTAACTCCCCAAAGTTAGTTTTTCCACATAGTCTTTCTTCAAGCACAGAATTTCAGTTGGCCCTGAAAATAAATACAATGCCTTACAGTCCCTAAACTTGACAGCCAACTGAGCTAATGTTCCACCAGAGACAGCACAGATTTGACCTTCCAAACAATTACTGCTTTTATAAACTGACCCTTTTATTCCTTTGTGTCCACATGTGTGACTTAAATAGATCAAGAGGTTCATCAGTCTTTTCTGATACTGGGCATTCATGGGGGTAAATAAATAACTTCTTTTGAATATTGAAATACAAAGGTAGTGTCTGATTTATGTAAAATGTAGTTTTTCAGTACCAGCTCCTTTGTATTTTGTGACATAGAGGCAAATTTTGAAGCAGAAGTAGAAAATTTACCCTAGTATAAGAATGACCAAGGAAGTGAAGAGTCAAGTAACACCAAACAGCTACAAGTGTCCTGATGAGATATTCACGCACTTGTTGTTTCATCACTAAGTTCTGTCCAACTCTGTGTGACCCCAGGGACTGTAGCCTACCAGACTCCTCTGTCCATGACATTTCCCAGGCAAGAATACTGAAGTGGGTTGCCATTGTCTTTTCCAGGGGATCTTCCTGACCTGGGAATTGAACCTGCATCTCCTACATTGGCAGATGGATCCTTTACCTTTGAGCCACTGGGGAAGCCCATTCATGCACTTAGCGTCTCAAATTTATAATGTGTTTTCAGATAGTATAGCCAGTCTCCATGTTACTTATATTAACTCTTACAATTAAATGTGAGATAGGAATCTCAAGTTGTAATTTACTGTTAGGAAACTGAGGCTCAGAGGCTAAGTAACATGCTAAATTCAACCCAGCTCGGGACAATAGTTGTAACTTTTGTTAACTCTAGTAACTTACTGAGTTACTTAAGTAAGCTACTTAAGTGTAATAAGTGACAGGACTGGGGTTTGAACCCAGGTCTGTATGACTCCAAAACTAATGCATTTAGTCACTAGCCTGTATCAACTTATCAGGAATGTTTTTAATAATATTTTGCTACTGTTTTATGCTATTGTATGTAATGTATCAGTTGTTATGCACATGGCCTAAAAGGTCACATGAGATGAACTGTAGAGGTTTGTGAACATGATTTGCATGGTAACACCAGTGCTGCCTTTGAGAAATCCAAATTTATACATTCCTTGTCAACATTTGCTTTGAAATTGTAGTAGCCACCATTGGTTGTTTACCCTGTTTCCTTAAACTTGAAACGGTTTGCCTTTAGAGATTCCTCTTTCTAGTTAGATAGAAAATATGCACATTTTCAAAGACACTGAAGCTGTTGCTGTAACATATTTCATAGTAACACTTCATTTATTTTGGCTGACTGAAATATGAAAGATATAAGGAAAATTAAATCTGGATAGAGTCTGCCTTTGTTCTGAAAACAAAATTAAAACATATATTTAGCATTTGCTCACTAATTAAATTTACTAACTTGGAACTTCATGTGTAAATTTTAATAGAGCTTTAGCGCCATTACATTGTGTCAAACAGGAAAAGCAGGATAATGGAAGGAAGAGAGAGTATTTGCCTGGAGTGGGCAAAGCTTCAGATGGAAGCTCACACTAACTTGAAAGCCTTTGGCAGTGTTTTTCACCTCTCTGAGCCTTGCTTTCTTCCACTTTAGAAGTGGAAATCTATAATATCGCTGGGAGCCATTACAAATCTAAGGCTGAAATTCTGTTATTCTATTTTCTGAAAAATTCTTTTACATTTTAGTTGTCACAGAATAGGCAGTAATAATAGATTAACTTTTGTTCTAGAATAAAATCAGGGAAGGGACTTGCCTGATGGTCCAGTGGCTAAAGCTCCAAGCTCCCAATGCAGGAGTCCTGGCTTCAATCCCTCATCAAGCAGCTAGATCCCATGTGTTGCAACTTAGACCCAGTGAAGTCTAATGGGTCATTTTGGGCTTCCCAGCTGGCACAGTGGTAAAGACTCTGCCTGCCAAAGCAGGAGAAGCAAGAGACATGGGTTTGATCCCTGGGTCCGTAAGATCCCCTGAAGTAGGAAATGGCAGCCCACTCCAGTATTCTGGCCTGGAGAATCCCAGGGACAGAGGAGCCTGGCTGGCTATAGTCTGTGTGGTAGCAAAGAGTCAGACATGATTGAGCACACACACACAAACAGGGAAATCAACATCCTTTTTAGTCACTTGGCAAACTATTGGAAAAGGAGTGAATGTTTTCAAGATTGGACAATTTTAAAAAGAGTCAAGGGCTATAATAAACTAGGAAAACTAGAGTGTAGTAGTCATGCCAGAGCAGATGCCTCTTGTCCATGTCCATGGATGTTCACAGTGAGCCCTTGGCATCATACTCTTGCCCAAAGCCCAGATATCTGATGGAGACTGTACTTCTCCATAAGACCAATTCTGTTTCTTTGTTCTTCCATTAACCTAGTCCACCTGTTTATCACCTCAAAAGCCCTCTTTATTCTTAAATAAAGTGAAGAACAAGAGCAGGGGACTGGTTTTCTATCCCTATTTCTGGGTATAGTTGCTTCCCTTCATTCATGATGCAGCTACTTACCCAGGGTACCAGGAAGAAGGTATCGCCTTTTCAGAGCTGACACCAAGCCCTGAAGAGAAAGGTGCTAGGTACCGTATCAAACGCAGCCAGCAGATTTCATGTTGATGGAGGGAAGCACAGAACAGAAGGACTTCAAGGCACTCCTGACAGTACTAGCTCTCAACCCAGTTCCTCTGGCACATCGACAATGGATGACATTCACATCCAGAGCACACTTCCATAAGTGCCTGTGTGTATTTGCCATGCCCTTAGTCTTTTTCCTTTCTTCTCAAGAAACCTATTGGAATGAGTGAGGCATGCATTATTGAAGGCAAAACATTGAATGTGATCCGTTATAGAAGGAATCATCCTTTATACACATAGATACTTAGCAAATCACTTAGGAAATGACTCTCACCACTCGAAGGTTGACTATTGCCCTAAAGTACTGTCAGAAATTACTGGGCTTCCCTGGTGGCTCAGAAGGTAAAGAGTCCACCTGCAATGCAGGAGATCTCGGTTTGACCCCTGGGTAGGGGGGATCCCCTGGAGAAGGGAATGGCAACCCACTCCAGTATTCTGGCCTGGAGAATTCCATGGACAGAGGAGCCTGGTGGGCTACAGTCTACGGAGTCACAAAGAGTCGGACACGACTGAGTGACTAACGCTTTCACTGTCAGAAAACCTCCAGATGTTTGTTGTTTTTTTCCTTTAACACCCTTGAGACGCTGAAACCTTTCAAGGTTTACACAGCAGAAGTAACCCTGAACTACTCTTTCAGTGACAGGCAGCATCTGATACAAAGCCAGAGGAAAGAGGTTTGCCTGCCAGGACTTCCATGCATCGTGGACATGTACCATTATCTATATCCTTTGAACCAAGCAAAAGTTATGTGGATTCCAACCTTGATTTGACTTCAGGTCTCAGGGTATGGTATAATCCAGTGTCCCCCACCTCCGGGATCTAATCCCTGATGATTTGAGATGGAGCGGATGTAATAGTAATAAAAGAAATAAAGTGCACAATAAACATAAGGCACTGGAATCATCCTGAAACCATCGCCAACCCTGTCCTTGAGAAAACTGTCTTCCATAAAATGGGTCCCTGCTGCCAAAAATGTGGGGGACCACACCATGCAATACTCTCATATTGGAAACAATCCTATTTTTTTTTAAAGAATAGCAAAGTTCCAACATAACTGACTTTAAAGTGCATAGTACAAATGATAAAAAACAAATTTTTTCCAACATGAGAAATCAAATCAGTCTTAATTTCCCCATCTTTAGAAATACCTGTT